ACACAGAAAAGGAAATCGCACGCTCAACCAAGGAAGTGCCAACCAAACCCACACAATCCATAGCAGACACTGTAGTGGCACATCAGTTCTGTCACTTTCGCCAGGCAAAACTCAACGTCACACACACAAAGTTGCCATTAATTCTGGCAAGAAGGTGAGCGTTTAGAGGAAAGCTGTAAAATTCATTTGAAAAGAATCTGCAAAACTCTCAAGCCTGCAATTCGGCATGAAGGGCGCAGACGTGCAAGTGAACGTACTCAGTGAATTTTATCGAGATTCATTGACCTCGAAAAATCGCCAGAGCTGGCCTTTAAAAAAAAGTCCATTTTTGCGATCGTGACGCACAACTCCTCATTGCAGTTTAATGGCCGCCGCATAATTATTGGCCGCTTTCTAAGTTGCGGAATCCTGCTTTGTTGCACTAAACTTAATTCCGCACATGCCTGCAAGGGCAAACTGGTTGAACTGTACTCATCGTCGTTATCTTCTAGCTCCATCACACATCATTCGTATAGTGCAGCAAATTAATTCTATTATCTCACTGTTGGAGATGCCTTACATATTGTCTAAGTACTTTGGGGACGTTTCTCGACTAGAATAACATAAAAGCGAAACCTGTCACAACAGCTAGAGCACTTACTAGCCTGAATTCATTCAAAACTTTGACAACCATTGAGCCTTGATGTACTATATTTAGGACAAAGATTTCCCATTACTGCAAACAACATATTATGAAGGACTTACTTTGTAAATAGTAAGCTAAGCATTTTAGAAAAAACATGAAGAAATATGATAGCTATGATAGTTAATCAGTGAGGTATCATCAAATATTAGATGGCGGCAAATGTCTTTTTCTTTTTTGCCTTCCACCACCTTGCTTTCCTCTTTTCAGGGCTCCAAAGATGACAATAACAAAAAAATTACTACCCATGTTTGTACAAGTGTACTGGGGTTAGCCCAGACACCTCTTTCAATTTCTGAGTTAATTTTGTTACAATTCGCAGCAAGTTTCATCGTGTCCTTTCTATAGGACACCAGGACCAATAGCGTCAAAACAAGCACTCTGCATAACCTCTTCACAAAGTTAATTAGAATGAACAGTACTAGAAGCAATTTTAGTGGGAAAGAAAACACAAGGTGTTCTGTTCAAGCACATACACGTACTGCTCGCTGTAGATAGTGAAATCAGTCAAGGCTCCAAAAATACAAAAACCACCAATTATTATTCTCCCTAATTTCACAATAGTTATAGACTATATTTACTTGATTTGATATTGTGATGCCAGAGAATGAGACAGTAATAGTCATTGAAAACAATTTTCGCAGTACAGGGTAGTTAGCATTGCTTAACAGGGGTGTAACCCCCCCCTTACCTTACATTTTTAGGCAGGAAAAATTTGCATCTTTAATCACCACTAAATGAATTCCATAGTTCTGTACCACTAAGAACGCAGAGGTCATTTCAAAAGCAGATGCACACAAGCCTGCACCAAGGAGCGCGTGCTCTACATTGACGTCGCGACCCAGACGGATGGCGACTCTCACGCTGAAGAACATAGTCGAGCACATGCGCGAGTGTTTATTTGCGGAGGCAATCGGCTGCTGCACTTTGGTCGCCTAGGCTATGCCTCTCTTAAGTTGTAGGCTGTAGACATGGAGTAGACTGGTGGAAAAAAACTATGCACACACAGGTTTGATCAATGATTTGTATCGAGTGCCTGCCGCATTGGTTTCCTCCAAAAGACTGCTAAAATGATGTTTTGGCAATAGTTTCACGCTAGGCATGAGATTTTTGCCAAAATGTAGCAGGATGCAGCAGGTTTCACAACATGGCACAGTTTGGCACAATCAGCGCAGCTATCACATCACTGCAGGCGCTGCCTGTGGCACACCTGGGGGCAAAAACTTCAATTATACGAGCTGCCCTGTCACGTGACCATAAACTAGTGTACGCAGTCAACAATTTTCCTGTTAGTATTGAAATATTGTTTGATTCTTTATAGTAAATAATATTGCTCCATAAAAATGTACTTATAGGCCTGCATTAGTTGTGCGCAATAAAGTGGCACTGCATTCGCATGATATAATGATACCGTGCACGTCAGCGCATCTAGAGTAAATTTTCTACGTGCTCATAAAACCGTGCATGCCGTTTCCATGTCACCGAGCTTTTGGAGTGACCCGGTTTTTTTTAACCTACACTTTGTCTTAGAAATGATGCACAGTGACTTTTTCGGTGACTTTACTTGGCTTGTGTGTTGAGAGAGTAACAACAATTGGACAAGCCATTCACGACACAGGCGCATCAACCTTGGGCGCAGGCAACACAATGTAAATACAGGGAAGGTGTATAAAGCCACATAGTCTCACTGTAATGACTTGCTATTTTCAAAAATAGTTGTAAAGCTCACAATAAATGTGGTTAAACATAGTTAAAAGAACTCCTGCGAAAGCAGAATGACAGCATGCACAAGTCGCTAGAAGGGCTACCGGCATCATTACCAATTCTCCGCATTGCTGGTCAAAAAGGCATGTCGATGTTCAGAGCCTTTCAAATTGTAAAATCTGCTTATTAGATAACTACGTGTTTTTGAGAGTACTACCGTAGCTTCGAACACTGCGAAAGGAAAGCTTTTGGTTGTGCCGGAAAAAAACTGGGTCGAAAAAAATCAGCTGTCGGTCTCTTTAAGCTAGCACATTCAATTTGACCAAAAAAATTGTTTACTTTTACAAAAACACTGGGCATGCGCAAAAAATGCAGCCCAATCACAACAAAAGCTGAAAGAGCGACATTTGTATGGCCCCTTATATACTCGTTTGGGGCTACTAATACATGCACACTTACAAGGTACCCACTGTGCAATAAATCAATTTGTCAAGTTGGGAAGCACCCACCACGCCCTTATTCGTCATTCGACAGAGAAGCGAGTTACCTGCAACACATCTGTTAAGCATTATGTGCACTTCATTTGTGTGGTGGCTGATGCAAATAATTATGGCCTTTGTAATGGGTTGGAAGATTTACCACTAGCTACGTAACTTCCACTGTGACGTGCTGTTATTTTACTTTCTTAACCAAGCAATATTATATACTTTAACATGAGAAAGGGCACTTTATTGAGGTCATAAGAAAACAAATCATGGGGGCCTTATAGGCTTCTTTGGTAACTAATACAAGTACACTCGCAAGGTACCCACTACACCATAATTTTTGTGAAGTACGGAAGCATCTAATATGCCATTATTCATTTTCTCGGAGAGGCACGATACGAGTGACACATCTAAAAGGCATTACGGGCACTTTGCAGATGCTGTGGCTGAAGAAGAATTATGGCTAAGCCTTTCGTAATGGGTTGGAAGCATTCAACAACCCACCACTTATGCAATTTGCATTATGTGATGCCTGGTTACTTGATTTGCATTGTTTGACTCTTGGTTGTTACCTTACTCTTCTGCCACGTTATATTACATATGTTGTCGCCCGACATGAAGCTTGTATAGGACTTTCTTGCGAAGAAGCTACAAGCACCAAGAGAATTTGGGGTAGAATACTGGGTTGCCATGAAAAGGACCCAGGATCTAACAAGGTTCCATGCCCGATTTTTTTTTTTCTTCCTCATTTCACACGATTGCAGTTACGGACACCGGCGGAGGCAGCCAACAACTACGTCACTAAAAATGGCTGCTGTTATGTTCTCAAACACCTCTTGCTATAAATTGGCAGGGCCCTTCTACAGAACTCAAACACCCACTACCACATTTTTTTTTTTAGTTTCGCATGAGTTTGTATACATGCACATGTAAAGACACAAGATAGAATATGAGAAAAGGTTGGTTGATTTCACTCGCCCTTAAAAAAAACCTTCTGACTATACCCCTGGAACTGAGGCATGTTTGGGCAAAGTATGCCAGTAAGCCACCAGTTTCATCGTAACTACCTATGTGGCTAGTGCGCAGTAATCATACAGCAAAACATTTTCATTTTCTGTCAGTACAATTACATGTTGGAAAGCAACAAATGTGTCAAATATCAAAGGCTAACCTAAATGGTACACAAAAAGCTGGCAAAGAGCAATCAATCAATGACACTTTTGATCCCAATATGGCTTCACCATTGGCTGATGTCCGTGCTAAAATTGATTTGGATTAGTTTGGGCTATGCGGCAGCAATCCAAAATCAAAAAATTGTATCTTTATCTACTCTAATCGTGATCAGAAGTGATTGTGCAACACTAATGTAAACAGCATGAGAGAACTGGGAATCTCCTCAAACACTAATGGACACTGCAAAATAGTCAGCGCCCCCCTTGCGTACGCTCTGGAAATACTGCAGGAATGTTTTCTGGCTATACCTTCTCGCTCCCAGACTGATTTTCTAGCTCCAAGCACATAGATGCCTCCACATTCCAACAAAGTGTGAGAGCACAAAACTCACTGCAAGAAAACATTCAATGTCACATCTCATCGAGTGCCCCCCACCCCATACAAGAGAACAGAAGACATGAATGATATTGTAAGTAATTTAGCGACACTTAGGAGCCCCTAAAAACGCTCACACATTCCCGCTCACTTCTACTCAAGAACTACACACACTACACACAGATTGTTCTTGATTTTTTGCTCATGCACACCTTTGTCTTTTCATTTTCTCTGAACATCTTCCTGTAAGTATGCAAGATGGTCAGTCACGCACAATAAACAGTTGGCAGTGAGCACTGTGTGATTCTTGAGTGGAAGCAAATGTAAATGTGCTAGTGTTTTTAGGGGTTCCTAAGTTGCAGTAAATTACAATATGGCGAATTACCAACTAGCCTAACAACAACTTTTAATAAAGAGACACAAAATAAGGAAAAGGCAGGGGTTAATGGCAAAAAAAAACACTTTTTTTGGCTGGTCTGTGGTAAAGGCCATTTGGTGAGAAATAAACTTGCTCTCGCATGCGCAGAAACTATTTTGCATGCTGTCCATTGTTCACAAGAATAAAAACAACCCATTCATACCTTTTCCTTCATCAGAAATGTACTCGGCAGACTTGATGTCCAGGTCAAGTGAATTGAGGACGAGGACATCAATTGACTCTAGTATCTGCAAATTTTCAGCATGTAATAGCAAAAACACATTCATTAAAATTTGCCGACATCCCGAACCCGAATCGGTCCCAACTTGGGGGGAAAAGAAACAAGGGTAAATTTTAAGGCTCATTTTCCTTTGCTACAAGTGCTTACATTACAATTACTTCTAATAATATCTCATTTATTTTTGGCACCATTTTCTGTTGGTTATCATCAAACCGGGGAGAGTAACTGATTTAAGGATTCGAATGCCCCGCCCAAGTCCCTATGCTTGTTTTTCCCCTCTTGTCCCGCTAAATTGCGATAAAATACGCGCTTTTAAATGTCGCGTTAAATGTGGATTCTAAATCGTATCCCTTAATATCTGCTAGGAAGGATGCATGTGATGCTAACATATGGCACACAACTGAATTATTGAAATTTCATAAGTTGTGCAGGTAGACTGGGGTTCAACAGGCAGCCAACGAACTTCCCAAACCTCATTGGCGAACAATAATACTGCACCGATTGTTTTATAAAATAACTAGAACTAGTTGAAGATCTCTTTGGATGCTTAGCAAAATGACAAATGTGACCGAACTATTCCCGGCGGTATCAATCTGTAGGCTATCACTAGGTGGAACTCAAAAGATATTAATATCAAATGCAGAAATGGCGGAATACTCGCCTCTAATGTCACAACCGTTCGGCCGTCAAATGCGAGCTTCTTGAGGTCGGGCTTCAGCTCAATATTGTAGTTCACCGGCTTAACGTTGGCAGGAAGGCGGTCTGATCTGTTCTCGCCAGACATTGCGGTGTTCCTGAGGGCGCTAGAAGAACGCACGAGGCACAGAACTTCTAGCTACAGACGCACGTCAGAACCCTTCACGGACGCATCACAAATGGCGCAAATGGCGAATTTACCAAAGTGATCGGAAGATCCCCAGGCGCGCGCTGATCTTTGGAACACGACAGGCAACCGCAGAATGAGCGAGGAATCTGCCGGCACGAGACGCTACGAAGACGAAGAACCGAGGCGGCACGCGCGCTGCAGAAACGAGCATATCTTTAGACGCCGCTAATGAAGCCGCAAAGTTTTTCAGTTTGCTCGAGCCTCTTTTCGCACAACTTTATTTGTAACGAGGCGACGAGGCCAAAGACAACATCCCGTACGAGGAAAATTAGGACAAATTCAGTGTACAATGGTGCTTACGCAACTACGGCCGGTAATGTTGCGTTGCGGCAAGTTTTTTTTTTTTTCTAAAAAAAAAACCAATGTTTTTAAATCAGCTCAGAGTTTTGCAAAACTTTGCTGGCAATACAAAACTAAAGTGATTACTATCAATTTGCTAAATCTACTCGCTTTTTTTTTATTAGTCAGGAAAAAAAAAAGAAGTCGACGCAGGGTGCAGTTTTGCCGGTCAATCCAAGCCGGGCCATGTCATATTTATGGACAGGTGTTTTGTGCATGACCTACTACACTCCTGACCTGCCCAGAGAGCACCTCTTCCAGCGCCCACGTTCTAGTTCATACCTTCTGCCGCTAGGGCCGTAACTTAGGAGCACTGTGGCGCTAGTCAGCACCTGTTCGCTGACGTCAGCTTGAGTGTTCGTGGTCATATTTCGGCCAACAGAGCACTCATATTGCGTAATTATTATGCACTAATGAAAAATAATTTTGAAACAAATATTTCAAAAGTCATTCACAAATTCTTTGCAATTAAATGGACGCAACATCACATATGCTGTCCTACACTATGTAAGTCTACGGATTCTCGCATTTGTCCACCAGTGTGCAATAAATTTTTCGTCACACTGAACAGCTTACTTGACCAGTCATCTAAGTGAAAAAATAGTCACATATATGCCGGCTGTTCATCACGGAATGCAGCCGTTCTTACTCTAGCGCCGTCCAAACAGCCGTAAAGTAGCAGACGAACAGGTTATAGGTAGCGCCACCTACGGCGAGCGATTGAACGAGAGCGGGGACACGCGCTCCCATAGGAACCCCGCTATCTGAACAGGTCAGGAGTGTAGTAGGTCATGGTTTTGTGAATGGTATGGATGCAAGGCGTTATAAGCGCTGTAGCAGCGCTGCAACTTCAAGCAGTGTGCCGGGTACTGCTTGGCCCCGTGATAGTGCCGAATTATTCCTATCGTCTGCTATGGCTTCTGTAATACCGGAGATACGGATCTACTCTCCATCTGATAAAGGTGACGACACCTCCGACTCCGAGCGCAGCAGAATAACCGGGGACGCGAGTGACCGTAAGAGTACAATGCTGTTCCGTGGATCTTGTGAAGTGTTTTCGGGTGACAGTTTGAACATGGTGCCCTGGTTAAATACATTCAACATGCGGCCGTTCAATCTATCGTGCCTGCCGTCTACCATGACCTATCGGCCATCCTGTCGGTCTCAGTCCGTGGCCATTAGTCGCGCGAAACTGGGGTGCATCACGAGTTCCGCGAAATCGCTGGACGTGCTGCGCCAAAATTTGCAAAAGAGCATTAACCGCGAAATAGACGAAGTACTACAGCGGTATTTGGAGAAATTCTTCAAGCCGGGTCTGGAGAACGTGCGCATCAACAACGGCGAGCATTCGATATCGGAGCAGCATATCCAAGCCGTCTGCCGGCAGATCTTGGAAGAAGCCAAGAAGATGTACCACGGGAGCTACACTCGGGGAAATAGCCCGACCTCGGACTACAACATCGACTCTGGTCGCAACAGTCCATCGGACCTCAGGTTGGGTAGACTTCTAGGTAAGCATGGGGTGACGGGCCGCAAGAAACGCGACAACTCGGACTCCGACTCTGAAGCGAGTTTGCAGCTGGTGAAGAAGAAGAAGAAAGGGCGTCCACCGCTGCACCAGGGCGGAGTGCTTTCTGGTCGCTCGACGCCATGCAAGCTGAAGGCGGATGCGGTGAAGCGGGAAGGTCCAAAGTGGGATCCGGCGCGACTGCAGCCCACCTCTCAATTCATAATGGGTGCTAAGGCGAACAAGGCGCTGGGTTTGGGCGCCACGCGAGGTCGTCTCTACATCAAGCATCCGGAGGTGTTCAAGTACTCCGGCGACCAGGAGGACAAGCAGTGGCTGTACGAGCACAACCAGATGCCAGCCACCGGCGGCAAGGCGTACATGCTGCTCGTTGAGGACATTCGCGAGTTGGCTGAGACGGACGAATACCGCGGCAGTCCGGGGCTCATGCTGGATGAGATCGTCGGCTTCTCCGTGCCGGAGAGCATGCTGGCTAAGATGCAGGCCGCCATGCTCGCCATGAGGACCGACTTGCCGGCAGGGTCGCGTCGTCGTGGGCCACGGCCCAGTGGCGACCCGCGGCACGACGACGGTTCGGCGTCGCCCGCTGAGGAACCACTGGGAGCGTCGCCTTTCGGTCAGGGCTTCGAAGACGTCTCGCCCGCTGCCTCGGACGTGAGCGCCACGTTGGAGCCGCCCCTGACTGCTCCCTTCGAGCTCGTCTTGAGTCCATGAGTACTGTGCACGTTTGTTGCAGGGCTACATACTCGCAGTGTCTACGATAACCTAGAATATTGAATGGGGGGGTTTCGACCCCCTCCCACGCCTAACCGTGCGTGGCTTTGCCGTGTCCGGGGGAAAGGGGATCCTGGGGGTTGAGCTGACGCTGGGTGATTGGACCTTTAAGGCCCCCCGGCAGAGGCAACACATCCCTTTGGCCCTGGCTTCACGTAGACGGCACACCCGGATTGACCCGCCTGGGGGAATCGGCAGTCGCCTTTTCCTGTCTCCCCCTCACATCTTCGTCTTTTCTCTTACTTTAAATCTTTCCTGTCCTCTACTCTCTTCTGTTGACTTCCGTGTTTCCTGGCGGCAAGGGTTAACCCTGTGTGGCTATCCTACCTTGTATACACCATATTCGGTTATAGTGGTGGTGTACAGCTGGCGTCTGCAGGGCCTGTGCTTATAGACCCTGCAGCGTCCCCTTGTAGGACTCCATGGTGGGTGGCTGGCGCCGCTGCCGAAAATAAACCTTTTCTTATGGCTAGTTCCTTCCCCCCACGCCCTGATCGCCCTCAGAAAAGAGGTCGCACCGATGAAGTCTTCCAGTTTTTTGGTCACCAGAGAGTATCCTTTCCCCGATTCCACGTTATCCACGCTGACACACCCGGAAAACCAGTGCGAACAATTTCACCTTTTCTTGTTTCGAAGTCTTTGACAGAAATTTTTGTCCCAGGATATAAAGCATCGAGAATGGCAAGTGGTGACCTCCTGTTGGAGCTCCGCGACCAGAAACAATATGAAAAATTGCCTAATCTAGTGAAATTTGGAGATACCAAAATTATAGTAACCCCACACCGAACCATGAACACCACCCGTGGCGTTGTTTCAGATGATGATCTGTTAGGGCTGACGGAGGCTGAACTCCTGGAGGGTTTTAGCGAACAGAATGTCATCAACGTGAAACAAATTAGGATGAGGCGTGATGACAAAGAAATCCAGACTAAGCACCTGATACTTACTTTCAATTCAAGTGTACTGCCCGACTCCGTTGAGGCTGGGTACATCAAGCTTCGAATGAGGCCATATATACCGAACCCTCTCCGATGTTTCAAATGCCAGCGGTTCGGCCACAGTTCTCAGAACTGCCGAGGCCGCCTAACTTGTGCGAAATGCAGTGCTGAAAAACACACATCTGATACCTGTGAAAACTCTCTTCACTGTGCTAACTGTAACAGGGAGCATGCCGCATACTCACGGTCATGCCCACGCTGGAGCAAAACATTTCATTTAGGGAGGCACGAAGGCAGGTGTCCTACCTACCAGAAAGCAGCTTTGCCGAAGTGGCGCGTCAGGGGGCAGCGCCACGACGGCCCTTGGCGCCTGTCTGGCTCACACGTAGTGAGCCAGCGGTGACGCCATCCACCCCCTCGGCAGTTGCAGCAAGTGCTGCTCCGCCATCCAGGAAAGACCCTATCAACCTCCAAACTGGGGGCCGCGAAGGTCTCGTCTTTTGAGGCGAGGCCCTCAAAACAAATTCAGCGCTCGCAAGAGCGCGTGTCCAGCGCCTCGCAAGAGGCAATGGACACAACACCGAGTGTGAGGGCGCAGCCAGAACCTAAGGATCGGCGCGACTCTGTCGACCGATCCAAAAAAGAAAAATCTCGTGTCACGGCCCCTGGAAAGGGTCCGTGAGCTTACTTACCATCCTTGAGCACACAACACAAAACACATCTAAAATGGACACACAAATACTACAGTGGAATGCCAGAGGCCTATTTAATAACCTAGATGATATCTAAGACTTGCTTAATGACTATCAGCCAAAAGTGTTCTGTGTTCAAGAAACTCATTTAAAGTTGACTCATGTGAATTTCTTAAATCAATATGTGGTTTTTTGTAAAGATCGAAATGGTGGCAATTTCTCTTCTGGAGGTGTGGCCATCATTGCACAAAGAAGCGTAGCATGCCAGTACATTGTGCTATAAAGCTCTCTTGAGGTTGTGGCTGTTCGCGCTATTCTATTCAACCGTCTTATATCTATCTGCTGGATCTACATAGCCCCTGACGAACCATTCAATAAAACAGAGTACATTTCATCAGCTTCCAGAACCATATATGTTAATTGGAGATTTTAATGCTCACAGTTTGCTATGGGGTGATACCAAATGTGATGCGAGAGGTCGTGCAATGGAAAACTTTCTTCTCGCATCTGAAGCTTGTCTGCTCAATAAGGCAGAGCCAACATACTTCAGTACCACACACAAATACATATTCATGCATAGATTTAGCCATTGGGTCACCGTCACTCCTACCTTACTTAGATTGGAAAGTTATTAATAATCCATATGGAAGTGACCATTTTCCAACTCTTTTAGTAACAAAACAACGGGATGACTGGTCGTCTTATCCTAAAAAGTGGAACTTTCATGTTGCAAACTGGGTGAAATTCAGAGAGCTATGGACACTGCACCTCGAAGAGGTAGACCATTTGGAAGTAGAAGAGATGGCCAACTATATTTCTGAATATGTTCTTACTTGTGCAAAAAAGTGCATACCGCAGTCAGGAATGATAAGGTCAACACAAAGCCATGGTGGAATCGGGAGTGTGAAATTGCTAAAAAACGGCAAAACAAAGCATGGAGGACTTTTTCTCGCTACCCAACAGCAGAAAACTTGATAACCTTTAAAAGTTGCAAAGCGAATGGCAGGCGTGTTCGCCGTATAGCCAAACGGGAAAGCTGGACACGCTATATATCCTCAATAAACTCCTACACAGATGTCAGCAAGGTTTATAATAGGGTGCATAAACTTAAAGGACAAGGCCCAAATCCCTTCCCTTTGGTGAATGACTGCGGTGATACAATAGAAGAACAGGCAAACGCTCTTGGCGAACACTTCGAGAAAATGTCAAGCTCAGAAAACTATACCCCTAAGTTCTTACGCCACAAAAGCATAGCTGAAAGTGTACCTCTGTGCCGGAACAAGCCTGTATCAGACGGATACAATAAACCACTAACACTATATGAACTGAAGCTTGCCCATGGTTCCTGTGGAAGTTCTGCTCCTGGTTCTGATACAATTACCTATGAAATGATCAGAAATCTCCCTGATGAAACCCTGAACTGACTTTTAGCACTTTACAACAAGATTTTCAATACCGGCAAAATACTCTCTGCTTGTAAAGAGGCAATAGTACTACCAATCCTTAAACAGGGCAAAGATCCCTCTTTGGTAAATAGTTACAGGCCTATCGCCCTCACAAGCTGCCAACTCAAAGTGTTTGAAAAAATGATTAACTGCCGCTTGGTCTATTACTTGGAATACAACGCCATATTGGACTCGTGCCAGTCTGGTTTCCGTACAGCTAAATCCACAACCGACAATTTTGTCCTCCTCGAGTCGTATATACGTGACGCGTTTGTACACAATAAATACTGTCTGTTTTCTTTGATCTTGAGAAGGCATATGATACTGCCTGGCGATACGGAATCCTACAAGACCTATTGTTTTTCGGAAGATGTGGCAGGTTGATTACCATCTTAGAAAAATTACCTGTCCGAAAGGAAGTTCCGTGTAAGAATAGGTACTGTGTGATCACGCACATTTCTTCAAGAAAATGGAGTGCCACAGGAAGGACTATTAAGCTGCACACTATATATAGTTAAAATGAACTCTCTTCGCTCTGTTATTCTACCTGCGATATTGTACTCCGTATATGTGGACGACATCCAAATTAGTTTCAAATCGTGTAACTTGACTGTATGCGAACGCCAGATACAGATAGGTGTTAACCGTCTTGCGAAATGGGCTGATGAGAATAGTTTTAAGTTTAACACTGACAAGACTACTAGTGTGCTTTTCTCCAGACGACGAGGTGTACATCCTGACCCCTGCATACTAATGAATGGACAAAACTTAGTCATCGCGAAGGAACAAAAAATTCTTTGTGTAATTTTTTATTCGAAGCTCACCTTCATCCAGCACATAAAACAGCTGAAGTTAAAATGTCTCAAGACCATGAACCTTTTAAAGATTTTATCGCATCAGTCGTGGGGGACAGACAGGCACTGTCTCATATCTCTGTTTCGAAGCCTGGTTCTGTCACGCATAGACTATGGATGCATAGTATATCAGTCAGCTTCAAGGACAGCACTGAAAATGTTGGACCCTGTATACCACTTAGGTATCCGGCTGGCACTTGGTGCCTTCCGTACCAGCTTTATTCACAGCCTTTATGCAGAGTCAGATCAGTGGCCACTAGACTATCAGCGCACGTATCTAGGAGTCAACTATGCAGTTAAGATCATGTCTCTGAAGCAGCACCCATGCAAAACACTTATGAATGATGTGTCTACTACCCAGTTATACCTAAACCGTCCTTCTATCGCCCCACCGTTTTCATTGGCAATAAGACCTGCAGTAGAAAAACTTGCAATTTTTTTCAATGACTTGGAGGAAAGTGACCATGTCGAACACATCCCTCCCTGGCAGCAGTGTCCAGTCACTTGTGACTGGTCTTTCAAAGACATCATAAAGGAAAATTGTCCAAGTGCACTCACTGAGCAACATTTCTTGGCCCTTGAACACAAATATCGTTCTGCCGCGTTCTTCTCTGATGGCTCAAAGTCTCAAACATCTGTATCTTGTGCAGCCTATGGACAAAAGTTCTCGGACACCAGAACCATGCATACACTTACCAGCATTTTCACAGCGGAAGCCTATGGTATCCTGCTTATTATACAACACATTAACAACACAAGACACAAAGTCTATAGTGTACACAGATTCTTTAAGTGTTGTCAGGGCCCTGTCTTGTGGCAAGTACAGCAAGAACCCTACTTTCAACAAGCTCCTTAACGAAATCTATGCAGCCTACAACCTAAAACTTTCTACTGTTATTTGCTGGGTTCCAGGTCATTCTGGAATTGCGGGCAATGAAATAGTGGACAAGAATGCACGAGAAGCCGCTGGTCGGCAAACCAAAGATATAACCTCTGTTCCGGGTGTAGATCTAAAACTTGTTGTACGTAGAGGTCTACGCAACCACTGGCAGGCTGAATGGGACAGAGAAGTCGACAACAAACTCCACCTTGTAAAACCCCAGCTGAGAAAAGTTATCCCACAAAAACTCAACAGGTTC